ATGGGACACCTCCTGGGGCTGAGGGAATGGGACCAAACCCAGAGATTTTGGGGTCGGGAGCAAAGACCCTCGGGCTGCATCACTGGGATGGAATTTGGGGTGGGAAAACCTAATTTTGGGGTGAGAAAACCTTTATTTTGGGCGTGAAGAGCTTAATTTTGGGGCATGAAAAACATGAATTTTGGAGTATGAAAACCTTAAATTTTCAGCATGAAAAAGTTTAATTTTGGGGTATGAAAAACCTTCATTTTTGGCATGAAAACCTTATATTTTGAGGCATGAAAAAAGCTTAATTTTTGGCATGAAAAACATGAATTTTGGGCGAGAAAAAAACCGGAATTTTGGGGCATGAGAAACCTTCATTTTTGAGAAATGAAAACCTTAATTTTGAGCTTGAAAACCTTTAATTTTGGGGCATGAAAACCTTAAATTTTGAGCACGAAAAGGTTTAATTCTGGGGCATGAAAATCTTAATTTTGGGGCATGAAAACCCTTCGTTTTTGGCATGAAAACCGTACATTTTGGGGCACGAAAAAGCTTAATTTTTGGCATGAAAACCACGAATTTTGGGCGAGAAAAAACCCCTGAATTTTGGGGTGGGCTAAGCAGGAATTCCCAAAGAATTCCTTCCCAGGAGCAGGAATTTCCCGCGGGATCTGCCCCCGCAATCCTTGGAGCTCGCGGGGGTCGGATCAGGAGGAATTCCCGGTGCTGGGAATGCTGCAGGGAAGGGGATGGATCCCAGGGGTCACATCCAGACAGGTTTGGGAGGTTCTGATCCAGGATTCTCCCGCAGATCCGCTACACCGGCTGCTCCATGAATCCCGCCCGCTCCTTCGCCCCCGCCGTCATCGTTGGGGACTTCAGCGACCACTGGGTAAGAATTCCCGCAGGATTCCCTCATCCCGCTGGAGCAGGGATGGGAGAGGAGGAGGAGGAGGAGGAGGAGGTGCTATCTTGGCTCATCCCAGCGGGATTGCGGCAGGAGGGGGGTTTGTTGGGCGGGAGAAGCAAAGCCAGTAGAGTGTGGGGTTGTTGCCAGTCCCGGGGACCTTTCCTGCTTCCCGGTGGATTTAGGGATCCCTCTTCCATGGGATCCTTTGGGAACCCTCCCTGGTGTTCAGGCTCGCTGGGGACCTTTCCCACTTTCAGGTGGATTTAGGGACTCCTTTTCTGTGGGATCCTTTGGGGGGAATCTCTTCCTGGTGGATTTAGGGACCCCTTTTCCATGGGATTCATTGGGAACTCTCCCCGGTGTTCAGGCTCGCTGGGGACCTTTCCTGCTTCCCGGTGGATTTAGGGACCCCTTTTCC